CTGCAGCAAATAAGGACCATACCTCCATTAAGACTTTTTAAAATTAAGTACAAATAGATTATATGTAACACACAGAAGGTACCTACAAATGTGAAAATGTTTAAATGCAGAATACTAGAATAACCTCTTTAAGAAAACTTGTGTTCAGTTAGACCTAAATGTGAGGTCACATTTTCCTCAAAGTTGTGTCTAAAGTTGGGTGTTTCCATAAAAATCTGAGAAACATTTTCTCTAGATAAGAGAAAGTGAGGTCACATTTTCCTCAAAGTTGTGTCTAAAGTTGGGTGTTTCCATAAAAATCTGAGAAATATTTTCTCTAGATAGGAAAAAGGGGGGGGGGCACCACACCTCTTAACAAAGGGCAATGTCAATCTGAGAGTCTGCCAAAATGAAAAAATAATATATTAGTCTTCCAGAGTAAATAATCCAAAATATACATTAACTATACAGTGGTTTTTATTGGTTAATGAAACCATTACACTGTTGATATTTAAAATAGCCAGGTTTTCTAATCATGCCATACCAACATGTTTTTCTAGTATAACTTCAAAACTCCTTTGTAATTCTGTTTTCCTAAACTTCCATAATGAAGAATTTTATAATCAGAAAAAGATACTTAAATACTAGTGATTTATCATAGGCCTTTTATTTCCAAACCAAACACATACTGAAGGTCTGAACCTGTCTAGAAAAGGCACACACTAGAGAACCAGTTGAGGTCCTGCTTATACTCTGAGAATACCAGCAACTATTTGAGAACTTTGAAGCCATCCAATTACTGCACACAACTGCATCTTCCTCACCTTCTCAGAAACCACCACCCCTTGACGTTCCTCACTGCACTGAATCAGATAATCCACAATGACATTCTCACTCACAGGACAAGCCAGACAGATCTGGCCTGACACATAAAAGCGACTCAAAATGGTGACTAAGCATTTGTTTTTTGTTTATTAACCCCACTCCAAAAAAAGGAATTATGATCTATAGTCAGTAGCCTGGTTCCACTGTTGATTTAATGGGTGAAATCAAATAACCATTCAAAACATTCTATTCCATCTCTAAGCCCCCAATAAAACATACTGGGGGTCGGGGACAGGGCAGCAAGCTGTAACTGCCAGATGCACCCAGCGCTTGTAGACATGGATAAAAGATTTCTTACAGTTGATACCTCCTTAAGATGCTGAGAACAGTCTCGTGAAACTAGTCCCTTATTAAATAGGTAGACTGATAAGAATAAGCACTGATATACCGGAAAAGACCATTGGTTAAGAGCTTCTATTTGCCTTTGGACTTGGCTAAAAAGGGTACAGCAATGATATACCATTATACACCCATTAGAATAGCCAAAATCCAGAACACTAACAGCACTAAATGCTGGCAAAAATGTGCAGCAACGAAAACTCCCATTCAAAATGGTACAGTCACTGTGGAAGACAGTTTGACAATTTCTTACAGAACTAAACATACTCTTACCACACAATCCAGCAATCGTGCTCCTTGGTATTTATCCAAACGAGCTGAAATCTTCTGTCCAGACATAAAACTGCACATGATTTTCTTATAGCAGCTTTATTCATAATTGCCAAAATTTGGAAGCAACCAGATGTCCTTCAGTAGGTGAATGGACAAATATACTATGATACATCCAAACAATGGAATATAATTCAATGCTAAAAAGAAACAAGCTATCAAGCCACGAATAAAACATGGAGGAAACAAATGCATATTACTAAGTAAAAGAAGCCAATCTGAAAAGGCGGCAAACTATATGACATTCTGGGGAAGACAAAACTATGGAGAGCGTAAAAGGATCGGGGGGGGGGGGGAAAAAGGGGGGGGGGGGGGGGGATAATCAGGGAGGGAAGGATGAATAGGGAGAGCACTGAGAATTTTTATGGCAGTGAAACTACTCTGTATGATACTATAATTGTGGACAGACGTCATTCTAAATTTGTCTAAACCCACAGAGTGTTTAACACAAAGAATGAATTCTATGTAAACTATAGACTTTGGGTCATGATGTGTCAACGCAGGTTTATCAGTTGTAACAAATGGACCACTCTGGTGCAGGATTTTGATGGTGGGAGAGCCTGTGCTGGTGGGGTACCTGGTATGTGAGAATTTCTGTACCTTAAGCTCAGTTTTACTGTGAACGTAAAACTGCTCTAAAAAACGTCTATTAAAAAAAGAAATACAGGGTGCCTCACTCTTCTCCAGAGTATGGCTAAAAGGTAACGTGCCTTCCTGAACACGTTAAAGGAAAAGGAAAGACAGCCATAATCACCTTTAGTGTTGAAGAACATGAAAGTTAATATAATTAGAGGAACTAATAAGAGCCAGGAAGGCAAGTAATAGGACTATGGTAGCATCTTCCCTTCAAATTAACTAAAATAGTTAAAAATCAAGCAAGGCCTTCATTTAATTGAATATCTAGGCCTTATCCCAAACCTCATAGGCAGCTACTGGCAAGAGCAATACAAAGTCAGAGTTGTCACGGATTGTCCAGCTTAACCTTCACATAAACTATGAAGCAGTGTTGTTCAATGGATTCCTTACATCCACAGACCCATTTCACAGAGTCACACATTTCTCCTCCCACATTCCACACCTGAGAGGTCATGCCCACTCCAACACAATCTGGATGCTGGGTCAGTTCACAAAACACTCAAAAGCTGAAGGGAATCTCTTTTCTGTATTTGTCATCTAGCTCCTTAGAAACATCTACCAAGTATTATAGAAACAGGAGAACCACAAGCAATTTTACTTGTCTCCCTGAATACATTAGTCAGAGATTAAAGAAGAATGAAGTGGCTTCTAGTACTTGTGGATTGTCATCTAAAACCATTTTAAAACTTTTCCCAGGAAGGCCACAAAACATTTCACAAAGTATATTCAGTTGAATGTCAGTTTTAACTGAGGATAAATGCTAAGAAATAAAGCCACCACCTTACACAGCTTCTAGTACTTGTGGATTGTCATCTAAAACCATTTTAAAACTTTTCCCAGGAAGGCCACAGAACATTTCACAAAGTATATTCAGTTGAATGTCAGTTTTAACTGAGGATAAATGCTAAGAAATAAAGCCACCACCTTACACGCTCTCTGAGCCAAGTATTCAAAAGGCCTCTCATCTTACACACCAGGAATGAACATGTTTGTCCCTGTAAGGCATGTTTATTTACAATTTACAGACCTACTTATAATATGGTCAAAGTGTCAAACAGATAACCCTTTCATAGTCTCTCCACCCCCATCCCTTACCCTCTCCCAAACAAACAAAAACAGCCTGAATTGCTCACTGTATGCAAGAGGCTAGAGATTTTGTCATGTAAGTTTTACTTTCCATGGTTCACAATCTCCAAGAGACTAACCTCATTTCCTAATTCAAACTTTAAATAAACTGCCTTCACCAACTTTCCCCTCTTCTCGAACCCCCACTCACTCAGCAGAGACATCTCTCTCAGACAAAAAAGCTACATAGGAGACTTGGAAATGGCTGCCTTTGGAAATTCCTCCCCCCTCCTAGCAAAAGGGTACTTCCAGAACTTTACAGTCTGGAGACACATGAATGTTGCTTCAATTCCATTCACCAGGACCAGATTTCAGCATGCTAAGTGTCTTTCTACAATCAATTAGTTTACGCTGCTGATCACACTAAAACTTTGGTGGAAATCTGCTTTCCACACAAATTAAGAATAAGAATTCTCATGTGTGAGCCAGCACTGGAAGGACACACACACTTAGTCCTCTACTGAAGACTTTTCCTGGCACAGGGGAATCCTAAACTTGCCCCATTCCATTTCCAGGGTGTGATCCTTCATCCATCCCAAATCCATCCCTTTTTCTCGATCTGAGGTTCAGTCTAATCGGCTATTGTGCAGCAGCTATGGCAATTTATCCCCTTGCTTTCTTGACATTCCCTTCTCTGCTCCTGGCTGGGAAACTGTTTTGATCTGAAAAGGGTTGTCTGTGCGGGGATTCTGCATGTTAATGATGTGGCGAGCTGGCAGGGATATTAGGTGAGAGCACACAGTGTACTTTTTCTAGTTATGTTTCGCCTCATCACGGCCCTTCTAAATGCCTGCTACACCATGAGGGAAACCTACAGACCTACTCTTCCCCTCTTCTGGGTAGCCTCGGGGGGCCAGGTAGAAACAGAACAGATGGCCTGTTCTCCAGTCAAGTAACTGGACTCAGAGGCAAGGAGGTACTCCTAACCACTCCACCACCAATGAAGCAAACACACGTACATCAGGCTCAGCCAGGGAGTCACAGCCGCTACCCTTCACTCTCGTTTCAGCCCCAGCCCTCTCCAGGCCAGACTAAGATGCCGCACTCTCCCCGCTGGAAACCGCCCACTCTCCCACCCTCCCACCCCAAAGGAAAGGGCTTCCAACTGGAGGTGAAAGCATTAGCTCCGACACCCGCCCTTCCCTCTCGATCCTGGCCAGCAAACTCCACTTCCCGGATTCCCGGCCACTCTCTCCCGCCCCCTCCCCGGGCGATCAAGCTAGCGCCGTCCTGATGCCAGCAGAGTGCCAAGCCCAGCAGCGCACCCCTCCACCCCCGCACTCCAAGACAGGCCCCCTGAACAGACCCCAGCTTCCTCCCTCTCCTCCGACTCGGGTTCCCCAGATTTTGGACAACCCCCAAGCATGCCAGGACTGAAAAAAGTCCCACCCCGCCCCCCAGCCAAGCCGCCAGCCCTGCCCCAGAGGGGCCTCCTCCCCAGAGGCACGAAGGGACCACGGGTAGTTGCCCCAGTAGCCTTCCCCCGCACCCCGCGAGGGTCCTGGGCCCCCGAGGACGACAGACCCGCGTGGCCCCGAAGGGACACCTCCCTCTTCCCCCGGAGACCAGTAGGTCTCCGCAAGGAGTGTCCGTGCTGCGGGGCCCCGGGAGTCTGGGGGGTCCCGTGGGCTGCCTGGGTCCGGATGCAGCCCCTCCCGGGGGCGTGCGGGGGTCGGCGCTGCGGCGCACCCCCGGGGGGCACTCACGATGGTCACGCTGGCTTTGCGCAGGTCGCGGTTCTCCTCCTGCAGCGCCTTGCACTTGAGTTTGTAGGTCTCCAGCTCGATCTTCAACACCTTGTTCTCCTGCTGCAGCGAGGCCAGGCGGTTGGTGAGCTCCTCCAGGCGGAACGGCGAGATGACAATGCCCCCCGACTTCCCCCCGCCGCCACCTCCCCCGCCGCCACCT